GGGGGGGGGGACCAATAAAAAGGTCACCTCTCACCTTTACAAAAACGAAGAAAACGCATGCCTAACCACTTTTCATTCTTTTTTTTTTTTTTCTTTAATTATTCATTCTTTCTTTCTTTCTCTCTTTCTTTCTTTTTAGGCATTGTCCGTCCAGTGCAGGATGTAGACCTCCCGGGACCTCTTAAAATATATTAAGTGCCTGATGTCAGTGACCTAGATAAAACATAAATCACCAGTACAAATCATTACATCCCACTTCCACCTCGCTTTTTTTCCATATTGGACCAAAAAAAAAACATTTTTCACCTCGACTATGGGTGGTCGTATTAAACAGGTTCAACCATACGATCAAGAAATTACAATTCCGTAAGTGTTACAACACAGAGGAATCAGGTGCTCGTCATGTTTTGGGTATGTGAAGTTATTGGTATCATCAGAAAGCTTATTCAGTTTCCTTGCTTTCAATGTTTAAAAAATCCATCTATCTTGAAAGAAGTCGAAATATTTGCCTATCTTGAAAGAAGTCGAAATATTTGCAATCGAAGGAGGTGGGGGAAGCCTGGTTTCAGAAGTAAAATTAGAAAGAAAATGGCAGCCAAAGTTTGGTACTTTTATAGCTTGAGAGTCCTTGAAATCTGAAGTTTACATATTTAGTGCAATTAATCAACATTTTTTAGTAAAATTCACATGGAAATTCATTTTTACATGGACATAAAAAGTGTTGAGCTAAAAATAAAAAATTTGACAAAAATATCGCCGAACTCAGGACAAAGTGCCTGATTTTTCTATTTCATTATTTTGACGAGCGCCAGACTTCACCACGATGCCTCAAATATGTTGTTGAGAAAACAAACTTGAACAAAAAGAGAGACAAAAGAATGCAAACGTTAGTTTTTAACAAAAAAAAAGGAAAAGGAAATTATTCTTTTCCATTATAAGGCTGATAGAATCAAAGAAAAAAAAAAACATAATTGGTAGAAGAATTCAATAAACAAATCACAAAAATGAACTCACCAGAAAGCCTTTTGTGATCCTCCCAGAATCGCCCTTATTTTCAAAAATTTTGAACTCAGCTGTGTCGCCTACAAGCGGTGACTGAGGAAGATAAAAACGAATGCAGTGGTCTCCGCCTAAGATCCACCCGCTTACGATCCCGGTTCACTTAAGATCCCGCTGCTTTAAGAAAACAGAATTTTTACTATACAAAAGTCACCCCTAGGTATCCGTTCTGATTCACTCTGAGGGTTTACATTCAACTAAGATCCCGCATTTCAGATCATAATTTATGGAACAAAAACCCAAGCACGCAGAGCAATCAACAAAGAGCGAAAAGTAGAGATCATTGAACTGCCCGTCGCATCAAAGATCAGCCACTCTCGTGAATGTAATCACATTACATAAACGTTGTAAAACTTGATGAAACGGTGCTTGTTTGTGCCAGACAGGATCACACCGAGGTGTGAATTGACCAACCCGCTCGTTTTCTCCAAACATCGCACTCGCATCTGAACTCTCCACCTAAACTTACATCACTCGCTAGCTGGGTTGGGTACGCTACAAGTTCGCTCAAGGCAGGATCACATCGAACTGTGAACTCTTCCCTGACCATTGCAGCAGTTGTCTCTACTCCCAAATTTTGTGAGACAGACAGAATTTTAATTGGTGGGAGTGGTCACAATATAATGGTGCATAATGACAAAGTCGGGGGGAACTCGGTAAGAGATGATAAGCTATAAGTTATGGACAGGTAAAAGGGAGGGGCAACCGGATACGCATAGATTTTGAGACCCATGAGACCAGATAAAAAGTGAAAATGGCATGCCTCATGCCCCCGTGATTGGTCATCAAGGTCGACCATTCTTTGCTCACCATATGTCAAAAACCTACCTAGGGGTCATGTCAGTTCATTTTAGATTGAGAGGAAACCATGTTACCGGTTGTGGGTTTTAACATGGGTCACCGTAGATTCTACCCTTGATCCGTCGGCTAAAATCGCCTTCGCCTAAGATCCCGCATTTTCCTGCACCAGGATCTTAGGAAGAGACTACAGTACTAGGAGAGAGAGAGAGAGAGAGAGAGAGAGAGAGAGAGAGAGAGAGAGAGAGACAGAGACAGAGAGACAGAGACAGACAGAGACAGACAGAGACAGAGACAGAGAGAGGACAAGCAATGTAATACATAGGTAGACTGAGCAAGAGGACTGGAGATATATGAGATAGCACCAAAACAAAACTCCCCCATCTCTCCAAAATATAATTTTTCAAGTTTTGTTTTAACACACATCCACATTAAGGTAAACACATTAACACCTGCAAATCAACAATAATATCAACACCATCATAAAGACAGCAATAATGAGAAACATAACAATAATTATCATCACAATATATAATTATAATAATAAAGCACAAGTTTAGTTGAAAGTGTAATATACTATGGTGGTCTAACTGTTAAGTTCCGTCCAATCAACCACCCCTTACTACAGTCTAACATAGTGTAAGTCACGCCTGACTTGCCACGGTAACAAAAGTGCTGAAAGCCTTTAAACCAAAGGTGGTGGCTTCAAACAACTGCAGTGTGCGGATAGGTGGATGGCTTCATTTTGCAGTGTTGTTTAGATCAAAGAATTTGGCAGTGGTAAAGATTATAATTGACAAGCAAGTCGCTACAGCATGTAACCAGACTGGACTATTTTTAAGAAATTGGGGGCTCAGCTTCTCCCCACCCCCCTCCTCTCCCCCCCCCCAAATCCCCACCCATCCCAACATATAACTGATTCTTGTCACAAGTCCCAAACTTGTCATAAACTGAAAGACCTCCAACCAGTAGTTAGAATGATCCGGTTGTCATTCAAAATCGATCCACTAAATCATAAATATTTAGGAAGGACTTCAACTAAACTGGCACCAATAATAATATAATAATATACTAACAATAATAAAGAAATTTATAAAGAGCCTTAATCTGACAGCAGCTCGGACACAGTTCCTGCCATGAACTCCCTACCAAATTCAAGGAGATTTCAAGGAAGTTTCAAGGAGAAAATTGTTTTAATGCAAAAAGACTTGGTCAAAAAATTCTTGCCGTCTTTGACGGTGCGCCAAGAGCAATCCGACAAAAAAACTTTTTTTCATGTTCGATCCGGCAAAATTCAAGGAGTTTTCAAGGAGGTTCCTAAAATTCAAGGAGTTTTCAAGGAGATTTCTCCGTTAAGGGTTTTTCAAGGACTGCTAGAATTCAAGGAGGTCGCAGGAGCCTTGCTCGGAACCCTTTTCAATTTTTCACTCAAAACAAAACTGGTCTTTTTATACTGCTTCCAAATACATATCCCCCCCCCCCTCTCCTCTCTAACTTACAGATTAACGCCTACAATTAGACAATACTTGTATATGTGAACTAACATACATAAAAGAAAACACATGCACATTCAAAGTGTTGATAAAATCCTTACTTGGCTTCTGGGCTCAAGAGCAATCCCTTCCTCGGAGTCAGCAGCACGGATTGTCTTCTTAGCATATACACTTGGGTTAGAAGTCAAACTTGCCTGTGGGAGAAGCAATAAAAGCTATACAAAAGAAAGGGAATCACAATATCAGTCTCACAACAGTTAATTGAATTTAATCATTTCAATCAGCTCACTTGCATAAAAAACATGTCCTAAAACTAATAACTTGCAATCTTTTCTTCAGCTGGTAAAAGTAACACACCATGTCCTCAGAATACAACTCATGGGTGACCTATCAGTTGACACGCAAAAACCTAAACAGGAAACGTAAAAACAACTTGTTTAGGTTTAGAATGAGGGTTTTACGCCACTCACAACACAAATAGGCCTACGTCATCTAAGTGCCAAAGATTAGAGGTATTAGGCCTACTAGATAGCAGCATACAAAGAAAGTAAGAAGAGATGAAGACAATAGATGTTTGACTGGAAAGGAGCAAACCACAATAGAGCACCACTTATTTGTAATCTGATAGATAAATTAACAACATACCCCCACCCCTCCCCAAGTGAAACCTTTCAATTAGTGGAAGAAAACACACATGCTCCCATGGTCTGACACCATCATCATCATTGCCATTTTCACCCTGGGTAAGGATATAGGCCACAAATAAAAACTTTCCACCTTTCCCTACCATGGTCAAAACCTATAATCCTCTCTCCAAAACAAAGTTGACTTCCAAAGCTCCAACCTACAAGTAGGCTACTTCTGCATCAATTCCTTAATTTGTGTAAAGAGGAGCACATCAACATGTGAACGACTATTCACAGTACAGAAACAGAAAGACAAACAGACAGTAGCAAAAAAACAAAAAAATAAAAAATAAATAAATTTGGTTTTCTTACCTTCACAGTCACATCGTAGTAATTGTAAAATAGGTCAGAATAGATCTCAGGAACAAAGGAAAATGTGATGTCTGTCTGGCCCGGCTGTAAAATTTGCGTCAGGACCACATCTTTATGCTGGGGTATCCTAATTGAAAGTTCAACTTCCGCACTTGGCAATGGGTTGCCTTGCAGATCAGAAACATGGACCTGAAAGCAGAATTTGGTCAATATATCGACTAGGCCAGGAAAATCCACTGGTCTAACAAACAGCTCATAAAGACTATAGAGCTCAGTTCAGGAAAAGTCACCCATAAAATAATAAAACAATAAATCGTCGTCTATCACACCAAAGGGTGTATCCCTGTTTTCTTACTTTTTCAGGAGAACGATTTAAAGATTTTCAGACTTAGGTTGCTTTAT